TGCTCTTTTGCCAGTCCATGGGATTATCAATATCCTTTGCCTGTATCATAATTTAAATACATCGATTCTTCTTTAGCTTTCTTTATTTAATATCGAACTTTCACATGCATGTGAGATGATTCAAAATATCGTCATTTGGATTAAGCACACCTTAGGATTTAAGTGTTTGCCTTTCAACACTTTAAAGAAGTCCTGTGCATCTTATTGTCCCAATGACATACATTTGAACTCTTACCTGCTGTTGAAACCTGTTACTTTGGTGACCCGCCTGGCCTTTGAAATACTGGTGACATAGCTTCCTGCATCACAGCAACACAAAAGCCACCACAGTATGAGACACTCACAGGCAATGATGGAGAACCCCCATGGAGCATTTCAGACCTGTAATACTTTGGGTTAAGGTACCTCAGAATTGATGGGTGGCTGTGAATTTGGGTTGGATTGTTTTTTTCATCTTGGGATACGTTAGGACATTCCATTCTGTGGACGATCAGAATAGGAACCATATTCAGTAACAGGGGTGGGAGAGAGAGGGAGACAATCTGTCTGTCTGAGTATTCTCCCTCCAATGTCCTTACTCCTCTCATTTGATAAAAATGCTTTTCCTCCAGCTCCACCAATTCCTAAAACACACGCAACTGGAAAACAGCGCCGGAGAACGTGTTTCGCTGGATGAAAACAGACTTGAGATGTCACGATATGACATTTTAAATTATTTGAACTTTCCTGAAGGGTTTGAACTTCACGAGAAAGTAGGAGAGCTCATTTCCCAGGGCCTACATGGCCACAGTTTGACGATTTTGGAGAAGTTGATAGAATGGCCTATTGGATTCGAAGAGGTTAGATGAATTCTTCAAGTATATCCAAAAGAAGAGACAAGATATGAGAATAATTGTGTATCCACGTAACTCACTACCAAATCTGTACTTGTTAACTTATCATTAATTTATTTGTTAGTGCCAAACGATTGTAAAGAATACTTTTCACTAAGGTGATCTCGGGTGTTACAGGGTAGCTTTGCTCCATAGTCGTTTCTTGGCCGTCATCTTACAGAAGCAGGCGGTCAGGTTTATTTTCTCTTGCTACCACTGGGTGGATTTGGATGGAGTGTAGGGGTCAATACGATGTGAGAATGAGTTTCAGGGAGATATATTTGACTCTATCTTCCTCAAGGAGATTTTGGCCAATAATCTGATTTAAAACTATAATTCACGAATTTAGTGAATTATATGTGAATCAGATAAGTGGAAAGAGTATTTATTGAAAAGAACGCAGAAATTGTTTAAAAATTTAATATGAAAATATTAAAAACAAAATTTTGAATGGATCTTAAGGGAAATTAAATGATAGGGTGCCGGACATGAAATCTAACTCTATCCACGATAACCCACTTCTTATTTGAGGTGTCAATCTGTTTTACTTTGTTATTCTTGCTAGTTTGTTATTGCTGTTGTTTGTTTTTCAATGTCTTTCTGTATGCGAAATCCAGAATAGGGACATCTACTGCAGTGGTTCTCAATCTGCCCAATGCCGCTGCCCTTTAACACCTCATGTTGCAGTGATGCCCCAACCATGAAATCATTGTGTTGCTACCTCATCACTGTAAGTTTGCTATTGTTATGAATTGAGGGACCCCTGTGAACGGGTCGTTCGACCCCCAAGGGATCGCAATGCACAGGATGAGAACAGCTGATCTACAGAGACAATACCTGGGGTGGTTGTTCCTTAGGGGTTGGTAGGGGAGGTTGTAGTAAGTGGGGAGCTAATAACAATGGGTACAATAATGAAGATAATATTCTAAAACAGATGGTGATGATGGTTGTACAACTCTTCTTGATGTGATTGAACATTCGAATTGTATGCTATGTGAATTACATGCAAATAAAAATGGGGAGAAAAGTAAAAGAAAGCCCCATGAAGAAGAACAACAGATGGAGTGTTTACTGAATGTGGTTGACAGTGTGCTGTTTGAGATGCACAACCAACCAAGTGGAACAAAACCCTGAACCAGTTGCTGTCAAGTTCATTCTGACTCATGGCTGTGCCCTGTGACCGAGCAGAACTAGGAACAACAGGCTTCCCTTGACTCAAACTCTTATAAGCAGCTTTCCCACAGGTCGTGGTGCTGCTGGCTGCACGCAGAGATCCACTTTCATAGTTGAGCACAAGCCACCAGCGCCCACAGTGCACAGATACAGGGAAGGACATAATCTGATGACCTGGAGTTTTGATGACTTGTGTACACTTTTGAAACTGGCTTTACTCTTTTTTTCTCCCCCAGCATACGAGAAGTGTTTTATTTGACTTGACTCAACAGGAAAGATCCACATGTTCTTTTGACCCCCCTGTGTGTATTCATTATGGTAAAATTTCAAAAGTAATTTGTGAGGCATTGAAAGCAGTGTTGAGGAGCCCTGGTGGTGCACAATTTAAGCACTTGATGGCTACCTAAAAGGTTCTTAGTTGGAACCGATGGGAAGTGTAAGAGAAGAAAGCCCGTGATTTGCTTATGCAAAGATTAAAGGCTTGGAATCCAAATGGGCAATTGGACTTTATCTTCCAGGACTATTGAGTCAGAATCAGTAGAGACATTGCCAGTCTGGATCACTAGGGGCATGAAGAGTCAGGATCCCTTGACAACAACAAAATGTTATTCAATATCACTAATTATAACCACAAAAACCCCATTATTAGTCAATATTATTACATGATACTATTCCTTCATACACTATTATTGAACTGTTCTCAATGATTCTTTTCCTTCAGACTCCCCACTCGGTGTGTAGCAAGAGCTGTGGCCTGGGATTCATGAAAATTCCTCAGGAAGGGCAGCCTTCCTGCTGTTTCCATTGTATTTTGTGTCCAGAAAGAGGAATAACTAATGAAACAGGTATGAACAGACAAAATTCCACAAGCAATTTCCCTAACTTCTTATGAGCCTGTAGCACGAAGAGTTCGGGGCTCACTTATATACTCAACCCACGCAGAGGTGCTTCAGAAACAGTCCTGCCTATCTGCTCCCGATATCAGAGACTCAGAACAACCAGCGGAGCTCAATTCTGCTCCCCACGTCTGGGGATGCCATCAGTCGAGTTGACACAAAAGGCATCAAACAACTATTGTGAAAAGTCACATCATTTCTCGTGGACAGATGACACGTGGTTTTTAAATAGCCGAGTTGTCAGGTGGCTATAGAACAGAGAAAATGAAAACAAAACAAACCCCCTTTCACATAACCACCTGCGATTTCAAAGATGCCGCTGTGTGCTCTGTCTCATATTCCCTCTGCCTTTCCTCTCTAGATAGCGATCAATGTATGGAGTGCCCCCAGAGTGAGTATCCCAACATGGAGAGGAACCGCTGCCTACCCAAAACTGTGACCTTCCTGGCTTATCAAGACCCACTGGGGATGGCTCTGGCCTGCACATCTCTGTGCTTCTCTGTCATCACTGCCATGGTTTTGTGGGTGTTTGTGAAGTACCGAGACTCTGCCATAGTCAAGGCCAACAACCGCACCCTCAGCTATGTCCTCCTCCTCTCCCTCCTCTTTTGCTTCCTCTGCTCCTTACTCTTCATCGGCCATCCAAACACAGTCACCTGCATCCTCAGCAATATCTCCTTCGCAGTCATATTCACTGTGGCTGTTTCCACTGTTTTGGCCAAAACCATCACTGTGATTCTGGCCTTCATGATCTTGAGACCGGGGAGAATTATGAGGCAGCTGCTGGTGTCTGGGGTTGTGAACTCGGTGGTTCCCATATGTTCCCTTATCCAATTGATTATTTGTGGCATCTGGCTGGGAACCTCTCCCCCTTTCATTGACATAGACTCATCCTCTGAACCCAGGAGCATCATCGTTGAGTGCAACAAGGGCTCTGTCTCTGCCTTCTACTGCGTCCTGGGATACCTGGGCTTCCTGGCCCTGGGAGCCTTTTCCTTGGCTTATCTGG